TGAGATGAGATGGGATGAGATGAGATGAGATGGGATGAGATGAGATGAGATGAGATGAGATGAGATGGGATGGGATGAGATGAGATGAGATGAGATGAGATGAGATGGTATGAGATGAGATGAGATGGGATGAGATGAGATGAGATGGGATGAGATGAGATGAGATGGGATGAGATGAGATGGTATGAGATGAGATTAGATGAGATGAGATGAGATGGGATGATATTTTTTTCCGGATCAGCCGGGTTCTCGCTTTAGAATGAAAGACTGCTCATATAAACAAGAAAAAAAAAATCGGGGATTTCATTCTCTTTCGGTTTACCGCTTTGTTCGGATTAACATTGTTCGATTTCGGCGGACTCCACTCTACTTGCTTTTTCCCCACTCACATAGTTCTGACGTACTGCATATCATGATGCATACTGTCCTCTTCTCTACACCGCTTATTAAATAAATCTGCTTCCTTTATTATTTTTGGCGCCCATATGACCTTATGCAGTTGCGAGCGCCTTAAGACCCTATACTATTTTTTTTTTTTTACTTTATTATTTCCCCCTCCAGATGAGTGGCGTCGGTGGCCTAGTGGTTAGGCAGGCGGACTCGTAATTGTGAGATTGCGGGCCGGGGGTTCGAACGTCAGTTCGACCCGACGTTGTGTCCTTGGGAAAGGCACTTTGCACGAATTTCCCACTTGGCTCGGTCCTTTCGGAGACGGACGTTAAACTCGGAGGCTCCGTCTCTTAAATAACCTAATTGTGTATATAGGGGCGTTAAACCTATACCATTTCACCATTTTCTCTTCCAGATGGCAGTTTTCTGTGCATGAACATGGCCCCAGACAGGCAGACGATTGCTTCCCGGCTCCTCAACATAAAGGATGGCAACTTCTCCGCTGAGACAGTGGAGCAGTTCTTACACATTCGATACAATACGCCTAAAGGTGAACCTTTGAACCCTATCCGTACGCCTGGGGTCATTTTGTACCTCCGGGGTTGTATTCTTCACATTTTAGAATACTTCTAGAGCGAAGATCTCTTTGAAACTTTCTGTATTTCTCAGAAAATCATTTTGACAGACTGTTATGCAAAGCGTACGGATCAGATTAACGAATAAATTTCCTCTTTGAAAAGTGGTAGTACAGAGTTCCCCACGTCGTATGTATACGATAGTAAAACACAACGTATGGATAAGGTTAATGTGTGCTACTATGGCAGCCGTTTGGTCTCATGGTCGGCAATAAAAAGAATTGCTAAAATGTACTGAGCCTCCAAACTATTGGGGGGGGGGGGGGGGGGGTGGGAGATCGGGAAAAAAACGTTTCATAATCCTTTCACAATGTGTGTGTATGTGTGTGTGTGTGGGGGGTGGGGGGGCTGGGGGAATGGTGAATTTAGATAATAAGTTTTTACAAATAATAATAATGTTATAATTTGTAAAAGATTTTTCTTCAAGATAATGAATTTGAATTTTGACAAAATGTTTTTTGAGTAGATGCAACCGATAAAACAAAAAAAAAGACATACTTAATTTTCTTTTAAATAAAATTTTTGGACTTAAATAAATCTTTAACTTTAACATCGGGCTAACGTCATATTATGTTCAGTTCCAGGTTCACTTAGGGGCAACAACCCAATAAAAACGTATAGTCCAATATTTTCTCACTGTTGTTTCAACGAAAACGACAGCAGCAGCAGCAGCAGCAGCAACAGCAGCAGCAGCAGCAGCAGCAGCAGCAGCAGCAGCAACAGCAGCAAAACCAATTGTATCAATGAAAACAGAAACAAGATATGATTACAACAGTGTGCGTGTGTGTGTGTGTGTGTGTGTGTGTGTGTGTGTGTGTGTGTGTGTGTGTGTGTGTGTATGTGTGTGTGTAGAAATAGGCTTCCCACTGAAGTACAAAAAGATATGCTACTATCTGAAGTACAAAAAGATGCTACTCTCTGAAGTACAAAAAGATATGCTACCCTCTGAAGTACAAAAAGATATGCTACTATCTAAAGTACAAAAATATATGCTACCCTCTGAAGTACAAAAAGATGCTACTCTCTGAAGTACAAAAAGATGCTACTCTCTGAAGTACAAAAAGATGCTACTCTCTGAAGTACAAAAAGATGCTACTCTCTGAAGTACAAAAGGATATGCTACCCTCTGAAGTACAAAAAGATAATTTTTTTAATGCTACTCTCTGAAGTACAAAAAGATAATTTTTATTATGCTACTCTCTGAAGTACAAAAAGATATTATGCTACTCTCTGAAGTACAAAAAGATATTATGCTACTCTCTGAAGTACAAAAAGATATGCTACTCTCTGAAGTACAAAATGATATGCTACTATCTGAAGTACAAAAAGATATGCTACTCTCTGAAGTACAAAAAGATATGCTACTCTCTGAAGTACAAAAAGATATGCTACTCTCTGAAGTACAAAAAGATATTATGCTACTCTCTGAAGTACAAAAAGATATGCTACTCTCTGAAGTACAAAAAGATATGCTACTCTCTAAAGTACAAAAAGATATGCTACTCTCTGAAGTACAAAAAGATATGCTACTCTCTAAAGTACAAAAAGATATGCTACTCTCTGAAGTACAAAAAGATATGCTACTCTCTGAAGTACAAAAAGATATGCTACTATCTGAAGTACAAAAAGATATGCTACTCTCTGAAGTACAAAAAGATATGCTACTCTCTGAAGTACAAAAAGATATGCTACTATCTGAAGTACAAAAAGATATGCTACTATCTGAAGTACAAAAAGATGCTACTCTCTGAAGTACAAAAAGATATGCTACTCTCTGAAGTACAAAAGGATATGCTACTCTCTGAAGTACAAAAAGATATGCTACTATCTGAAGTACAAAAAGATGCTCGTCTCTGAAGTACAACAAGATGCTACTATCTAAAGTACAAAAAGATGCTACTCTCTGAAGTACAAAAGGATGCTACTATCTGAAGTACAAAAAGATGCTACTATCTAAAGTACAAAAAGATATGCTACTCTCTGAAGTACATAAAGATATGCTACTCTCTGAAGTACAAAAAGATATGCTACTCTCTGAAGTACAAAAAGATATGCTACTCCCTGAAGTACAAAAAGATATGCTACTCTCTGAAGTACAAAAAGATATGCTACTCTCTGAAGTACAAAAAGATATGCTACTCTCTGAAGTACAAAAAGATATGCTACTCTCTGAAGTACAAAAAGATATGCTACTCTCTGAAGTACAAAAAGATATGCTACTCTCTGAAGTACAAAAAGATGCTACTATCTGAAGTACAAAAAGATGCTACTATCTAAAGTACAAAAAGATGCTACTCTCTGAAGTACAAAAAGATGCTACTATCTAAAGTACAAAAAGATGCTACTCTCTGAAGTACAAAAAGATGCTACTATCTAAAGTACAAAAAGATATGCTACTCTCTGAAGTACAAAAAGATGCTACTATCTAAAGTACAAAAAGATGCTACTCTCTGAAGTACAAAAAGATGCTACTATCTAAAGTACCAAAAGATATGCTACTCTCTGAAGTACAAAACATAAAATAAATAAAATAAAGTACACTTTTGTTTGTCCCGGAAGGGCACTTTGGTTTACAATGACAAACATACATTTACATACATAAATACGTATTATTATAAATACGTACATACATCAATACATGCATAAATACATACATAAATACACAATATTACACAAATGCAGAATAGTTTACCGGAAAGCCGCTGTCGGTCGCCACTGTGCATGCAGCGCCCTGTATTTTGAGCTAGGGTTGTCGTGTCTTGCTCAAGGACACACCCCAGTGACCACCCATCTGATCCCCGTGTCACCAACACATATACGAGGGGGAGTAAAAATGTAATGCAAGTTGTTCACTACTTTGCACATTTTGGCATTAAATTTAATTAAATTCAGCTCAAAAGTACTTGCTCACGTACTTTTGAAACCAAATTGTTAAAATTAATGTTTCTTTAATTTTGACCCGAATGACGTCACATCAAAATGGCTACTCTTTTGGAGGTCTGTTAGAGGTAAAGAGCAGAGATTGAATTGCTTGTTTTAGAAGGAGAATCCACCGTTAACATCTAAAAGAGACTTCAAAATGTTTACCAGGACCAAGCTCTAGATTTTGGCACTGTATATAGGTGGCTTAGACGTAAATGCGCATAGTACACACAGAGTGACACTTTTTAACCCATTACACATCCAGGAATGTACATGGCCTGCGGACATCGCTATGACGTGGAGGAGTACGTTTCCACTAAGGACTTGGACAACACGCACACGATCTACACAGACATGTGGGTCTTGAACCACAAACCTTCCATCACGTTCAGCTATACTGTTGGCGAGGTAAACCATTAATTGCTTTGCTGTAGGTCAATATGTCGGTCAACTATACCGCTGGCGAGGTAAACCATAACTTTATTGCTTTGCTCTAGATTAATAGATATGTCGTGGATCTTGAACCACAAACATTCAATCAAGGCTCAGCTATACTGCTGGCGAGGTAAACCATTAATTGCTTTGCTGTATATTAAAAGACATGTGGGTCTTGAACCACAAACCTTCCATCACCTTCAGCTATACTGCTGGCGAGGTAAACCGTTAATTGCTTTGCTGTACGTTAATAGATATGTCGGTAAGCTATAATGTTGGCGAGGTAAACAATTAATTGCTTTACTGTATGTTAAAAGACATGTGGGTTTTGAACCACTAACCTTCCATCACGTTCAGCTATACCCACTGGAGAAGTATGTCATTAATAATTGCTTGGCTGTATCTTAAAAGACACGTGGGTCTTGAACCACTAACATTCCATCACGTTCAGCTCTACAGTTGGCGAGGCAAACCATTAATTGGTTTGCTGTATGTTAAAAGACATGAGGATCTTGAACCACAAACCTTCCGTGACGTTCAGCTATACTGCTGGCGAGGTAAACCATTAATTGCTTTGCTCGGTCCGATCTTGAGAACACTATCCACGAATTTCCCATTTGACTCGGTCCTTTCGGAGATGGACGCTAAAGTCTCTGAAATAACTTAATAGTGTTAATAGCGGCGTTAAAACCTATGCCATTTCACCATTTTCAGACGTACACACTGGTCGCTTACGACGCGGGTCACATGCGTCTTGGTGGGCTCTGGGTCAACATCAAGTCGGGAGATGCTTCTACAGGACAGGTATAGTGGAAGAAATGTTAGTCCTTCTTTTTAAAGAAAACGCACACACAGACACACACACATACACACACACACACACACACACACACACACACACACACACACACACACACACACACACACACACACACACACACACATACCTATACAGTCTACACACACACACACACACACACAAACACACATCTATAAACACCTACACACACACACACACACACACACACACTCACACACACACACACACGAGAGAGAGAGAGAGAGAGAGAGAGAGAGAGAGAGAGAGAGAGAGAGAGAGAGAGAGAGAGAGAGAGAGAGAGAGAGAGAGTGGAAAAGACACACCACACTTACACATTATATGCTATATGCATAACTCTTTGTCCACCGATGATGACTGTGTTCGTATGCTGATTTTCAAGAACATCAGTCATGATTAAATTGTTCAAGGAAGATGTTGAACAGGGTAGGTGATAGCAGGCAACCTTGGTGTACATCGACGGTAGTGTGGAATCATTCTTTCGTTTTTCCCTTCGGTGAGGCCTGCACTGGTAACTTTTTGAAATATAGCTTTTGGATCGACTCTACCAGCTTTTGGCCCATGTTGTAGTTCTTCATTGTTTCCCCTTAATGCATCGTGCCAAATGCATTCAAAGGCCTTTTTGAAATCAATGTACAAATGTGAGGTGTGCTGACAAAATAAGGTACCTCTTTCGGATTTCAGCCGTATGGAAATGGATACATAAACTTTATAGGTGGGGTTTGTACAATTTGTTAGTATGGAATAATAAAAGACACGGTAGACTTGAGCAAAATGGCATTAGCTGAATATCTATAAATCTGACCCCAGTGTTGATTTTCAGACGATATTTCCATTCTTGAATCGCGAGAAGTAACTCATTTTGTCAGCACGCCTCACAAATGGAAGATGTCTTGGTAGACTAATATTATTGCAAAAACAGTGTCAGGTATCAAATTACGTTATCCACGGGCGCATTGCGTGTCTTGTGGACTTCATGTTCATAATGACGGCGTAAAACAGACAAATCAGAGACATTAAGAACTGCTGAATATTTCAATTTCATCGCATCCGCATAATATATTCCGTCAGTGATATTATTTATCACCGTATAATACTGGAGAAAAAAAAGAAGCAACAACAACCCCCCCCCTCCTTACACCCCAACCACTTCTGGGAACCTTACAGGAAGTGATCGCTCATTCGGGCCCCGTCAATCCAGCCTGGACCATGAGAAATCCCTTTGTGTACGCCCTCTTCCGGCAACGGACCGGAAGTGATATCATCGGTCTCACTGACCTCCGGAAGCAAATCCTACAGCAAATAAAACAAAATGACGGGCACTTTCTCCTGGACAACTTGATTCGAGAAAAAGAATTAGAGGGTAGGAATTTGTGGTTTCTGTCCTCGGACAAAATAGGTTTCCTTTTATGTATTGGTTTTCATCATCATCATCTTACTACTACTACTACTACTACTACTACTACTACTACTACTACTACTACTACTACTACTACTACTACTACTACTACTACTACTACTACTACTACTACTACTACTACTACTACTACTACTACTACTACTACTACTACCATTATTATCATCATTATTATTATTATTATTGTTGTTGTTGTGTTGTTATTATTGTCATTATTATTATTATTATTATTATTATTATCTTTATTATTATTATTATTATATTATTATTATTATTATTATCAAATTTTAATAGTAATAATAACGATTATTATGATGATAATAATAATTCTTATTATCATTATCTTTTTTTTAAATTTGAGAGTTTTAAAATTTTTATTTACATTAATGTAATTTTTTATAAACAGATTAACCTTTATCTATTTGTATTGTAGGAAGTTATAATATCTCTACCTGCCCGGATTGCTTCTAATCAGCAAAGTCCAATCAAAGCAGCTAGGCTACTAAATAATCGAAAATGTCTTAATAGGAGCGTAACACATTTACAGTTACAAATTACAATTGTGACTCAACACGGTGGAATCAGACGCTCGTCAATTTTTGGGTATGTGGAGTTATTGGTATCATCTTAAAGCTTGTTCATTTGGATACTTTCTGATAAAAAAAATGTACCCATCTATCTGGAATAAAAGCCGAGATATTTATGCTTGAAGGAGGTGGGGGTCACCTTGTTTCAGAGGTAAAATTAATGAAAAAATTGATGCCAAAGATTGGTGATTCCCGTAGCTTGAAAGACCTAGGAAACTGAATTTTTACATTTTTGTGTGTGCCTCCAACAGTTTTCAGAATAATCAACCCTGAGATATGTTTCTAAAAGGACATGTAAGTTGTTGACCCCCCCCCCCCAAAAAAAAAGAGAAAATTCGAAGAAAATTGTCAAGCGGCCAGAAAAATGCAGTTTTCTTTGATTTCATTATTTTAACGAGTGCCTGATTTCACCACGATGCCTCACAATATATTTATTCCAGGTCCTGTGGGAATAGGTCTCGTTGTGGTGAAGACCGACGCTTATAGCATTCAGCACTTTGTGGACAAGAATGTCTTCAACAACTGTCCTTACCTGGCCTCCAAGAACCAAGGTGAAATCAACTCTTCCAGCCCCATGCGCGAATATTTTCAGCATTCAGCGCTTTTACCTCCCTCCGTCCCAAGAGCGTTTATTCTCAGTTTTGAGGGGAACCGAATTTGCGTTTCTTTAAAATTAGCGAACCTAATTAAACTTTAATTTTCATAATGCTTGTTCATTTACCTTTAAACATTGTTACATGTTATTATTTAAACTCATTACAAAGATACTACATCACTTTTTAGAATGCATGCCTCTTTTTCTGAAATAATGCTGTATTGACTGGGACTAGTTTTAGAGAGTGCACACAAATGGCTGAGGCTGGAAGGGTTAAATAATAAGTAAAATGGCTAATTATAATATTATTATTTCCAATTACCTTTTGTCCTATCAGCAGAAGGCAAACGATAAGGCTACTGACAACAGCTTTGTAATTTTATTATAAATTTCAGTTGTTGTTTTTTTCTATTTAACAATTTGAAAACCTTGCAAGCACATAATATTGTCTGGTTAGCCGAAACCCAAAGCTTAAGCTCCTCCAAATATTTTTTGGCCTTCCTTTCCTTCTCTTTCCTCTTTATCAGTAATCATGGAGATGATAATAATAATAA